TATATGTATGAGGGCTTCAGCAGTGGCATGACCCCAGGTACGCGCATGGCTCCAAAAAGCAGCGAGAATAACATCGACGTACCTTCATGATCGAGGCCTCACAATTTCCAACGAGAAGTGCGCCTTAGTCCCTTTTACCCGCAAGCCCATGATCTATTATCTTGTTTCCATCGACAACGTGAACCTTTCGTATACGAGGCGTCACCGATTCCTGGGCGTCATTATTGATATAGATCTCTCGTGGAGTGCTCACATCTCGCACTTGAAGAAGAGGCTCAGCTCTATCACACACGTGGTGAGATTTCTCGCTGGTAAAACGTGGGGCACGTCAGTGTCATCTATGCTTCAGCTGTACAGAATGCTCTTCTTGTGATATTTGCGGTAAAGCACGCCCGTGCTTTCCAACGCCGGAAAAACTAACATCACGGTCCTGCAAAGCATTCAAGGCCAAGTCCTCCGCACATGCTTGGGGCTACCTCGGTGCGCTAATACGTTAGCAACAATTTGTATTGCTAAATACCATCTGATCACGACATATATAACTGTCGACACACTTCGGACACATATCCGTCACATATCCAGAGTGCCTAACCTCCACCTTGCTAACTTGCCACTAGAAAGACCAAAGGCAGCGTTTTCCAAAGTTGTTGCGGCTAACCAGAATTCCATCTCGTGGAGATTCTCTCCCGCAACCATACCACTATCTCCAGAGTGGTGCATGAAAAGACCCACCATGCACCTTGAAGTGCCGGGGATATCTAAAAAGGCAAGCCTGTCATCTGCAGCCCTCAAGCAGATCTCACAGGACATTTTGCATTTGTCGTATGCTAACCGAATTCATGTTTACACGGACGGCTTGGTCTCGGGAAGTTCGACAGGTGCCTTTGTCATACCATCTCGATCAATCACCGTCAATGCCAAGACATCACACGTCACGACATCTATAGGATCCGAGCACGCCGCTCTGCGAGCCGCTGTGGAGTTTGTTACGCAAGAATCCCCTAGTAGATGGGCCATTATCTGCGACTCCAAGGCAGCCCTTCAATGCGTACGAAGTCTACGACGTGGAAACTACCACCAGATGGTGAATCGTATTAATTTTGTCATCGCGCCGCTGATCAAGGACACGACATTGTTTTACAATGGTTGCCAGGCTACGGTGGCATCAGTGGTAACCACCTCGCTGACGACGCTGCCCGATGTGCCCACGATGGAGCGCCCACACTGTTAATACCCTTGTCTAGAGTAGACGCAGCTAGAGAACTTCGTCACATCACGCATAATGCCACGCTTGCGCACTGGAATTCTCCACTTAACTCCTATCATCGCCCTAAGAACCTTAAGTCATTACTCCAAAAACAACTGCCATCCAATATTTCTCGACGTGACGCTGCAATGCTGTGCCGGCTGTGGACTGGGGTAGCATTTACTAAGTCATTCAGCCATCGCATTGGCATGGCAGATTCATCTATGTGTGAAAGCTGCAACTGTATAGAGACTATTGAACATCTCTTGTGCCACTGGGCCCAATTTGATGAAGATCACCGGACTCTCTAGTGTGCCTTGAATAGACTTGATGACCGGCAGTTTACTGAAGCAAAGATCTTGGGAGCCTGGTCGCGCAGCACATCAGCACAGAAAGCCACACGAGCCCTCCTGAGATACTTGACAGGAACTTCATTGAGGGACCACCTGTGAAACTCGGCATTGTGTGTGTGATGTGACATGTGTCTATCCTTCTCTCTCTTTTTTTACTGCCCTCCCCCCTCTGCAAGGGTAGGGTAGTAAACTGGACGCATAGTCTAGTTAACCTGCCTACTTTTCCTACATTTCTTCTCTTTCTCTCTCTCTCTTGCAAGCTTAAGCAAACATTTCCGAATCTCGGAGGGCATACATTACACGTTTGTCAGTTGTTGCTGATACTGGATAGTGGTCGCCGTTTGTCCAAATGCCTGCTTTGGGAGACGTTGTTTTAAATTGCTGTGCGCTTTTTCAAATATCAGACAGGCTAAAATGATCTATTCATTGCTGGAATGTAGTCTTGGAACATGGCGTACGACATAGCGTGAAAACCGCGGAGCTAGAAGCAAGCAGCTCGAAGTGTTCCACGGCAGACGCAGGCATTGCGGAGGGGCGAAAGCAGACGACACGGCTCAATCATGTCGCTTTTCCGTCACCGATTGGCTGAACCACTCTCCGGCAAACGGCAAACTGCACAAAAATGGGTCTCGGACCCATTTTTTCCAACGGCGAAAAACCGCATACGCGCGTGAAGCAAAGAGCCACGCAAGGCTGCCTGAGAACGTCAAACGTGAAACGTCGAGGCATGATTGCCGCTGGCGTGAACAGGCCCGAATGGCAGACGTGCGCGAAGGAAACAGCCGCGCACGGCTGCCTGAGAACGTCAAACGGCAAGGCGTGCTTGCCGCTAGCGTCAACCGGCCCTCACACTCACTATGCATTAGATGCCTGCCGTGATCGCGGAGGAGCGGGGGAGCAGCGGAAGGCTCGACGCGCCGAATCGCAACATAGACGCCGGGAAGCGGACGCCGAGCATCGGTCTAGGGAAGCCCAGCGAAAGCCGCAACGTCAGCGGGAAAATGCTACGGATGAAACACGGGCTCTACATGCCGAAACGAAACGGCCACGTCAGCAGGCAAAACTTGCCGTACGCAATGCCGGCGTCGTAGCCAAGCGTCAGCGTAGAGCGCACGCGTACGCTGCGGACAGACGACGCGAGTTAAATGCCCGGGCTGAATGCCTCGCTAGACAACTTGAACGCCCAGGCTTTGACGGTACCGACGCCACTAAACAACATTAAATATGATGGTAACACTAAATACGCAACAATAACGCAAACATAATCGAAAAAACCCAGTCAAACCGATGCAGACGCGGAAAGCACCCTGCGTTCCTCTTCGCACAGACTCACATCCCTTTTAGCGGTAAACGATGTAATTTTTAAATGCGAAGTATTTCTTAGCGAAATTCAGCTGCTTTGGCCGTATCCATTCATCCGTCCATCCATCCATCTTTCCACCCATCCATCCGTTCATCGATCCTTCCATCTATGCATCCATCCATCCATCCATCCATCCATCCATCCATCTATATATCCATCCATCCATCCATCCATCCATCCATCCATCCATCCATCCATCCATCCATCCATCCATCCATTCATTCATTCATTCATTCATTCATTCATTCATTCATTCATCCATTCATTCATTCATTCATTCATCCATCCATCCGTCCATCCATTCATCCATCCGTCCATCCATCCGTCCGTCTATCTATCTATCTATCTATCTATCTATCTATCTATCTATCTATCTATCTATCTATCTATCTATCTATCTATCTATCTATCTATCTATATATCTATCTATCTATATATCTATCTATCTATCTATCTATCTATCTATCTATCTATCTATCTATCTATCTATCTATCTATCTATCTATCTATCTATCTATCTATCTATCTATCTATCTATCTATCTATCTATTTATCTATCTATCTATCTATCTATCTATCTATCTATCTAGCTGCCTACAAATATTAGCTCTCCTAGCTGTTTCGAGAATTGTATCTATACCACAATTTGTATGACATATCACTGCTGTATCACGAGCATGAATGACTAGCCGTAACACAAAAATCATGACATGTATGTGATAAAAGTCATAATTTACATGTCCTGCTTTTGCTGCTCGCGCGGTAGTTTTATTAACATATTATATATAGCAAAACTGATATTGTATGACATAACTGCATGGCAAACATAAGTGACAGGCCCTAAAAGTATATTCATGACATGTGCGTCATGTAGGTCATGACTACATGCCGTGCTCATGGATCGCTGGCGGTCGTTTCTCTACCTTGACATGTACCAAATTCGGTACTACGAGACCTGAATGGATGACGAAGGTATGACTAGTGCAAACATGATAATCATAACATACATGTCATGTGAGAACAGGACTACATACCACGCCCATGATGCGTGGCTGTTTCGCTAGCTTGACATACCAAATTTGGTTTTACGTGACATGATTAGACGACGAAGGTAATGACACCTCCAAACATAATAATTATAACATGCGTGTCATGTAAACATGACTGTATCACACGCTCATGATGCCCTCGCAACCGTTCGGCAAGCTTCACATATAGCAAATGTTGTATTATATGACGTGAATGGATGATGAAGGTATATGACTGGTGCAAACATGATAGACATGACATGCGTGTCATCTAAGAACATAGATACACACCACACTCATGATGCGCAGCCGTTTTGATATTTTCACATACAGCAAATTAGGCATATTATGTGACGTGAATAGAAGACGAAGGTAAATTACACGCCCGAACGTGATAATCGTGATTATGTTTGTGATATAATACATCAATACCTGCTACGCTTATCGCGCGCTCTCGGCCGTTTAACTTGCTTCACATATTTTAGGTTTGGTATTACGTGACGTGTATAGAGAAAGGTATACAAATTACACGTCCGAACCTGAAAATCATGGCACGGGTGTCATATAAAACATTACGACATCCTACGCTCATAACGCGCTCGCGGCCGTTTTTCTAGCTTCACATATACCAAATTTCGTATTACGTGATGTCAATGGACGACAAACACAAATGCAAGGCGCAAACATGATAATTGAATGGAAGTCAGTTGCGGCATAATTTACATGCCTACCAATAATGGTGCCAGCATTTCAAACGTTAGTGGTGCCACCGTTATGTGACTATAAACAACATACTTGCACCTTATCTGGGTGCGTGAGTGCGCGTAATATTTCTAATTGTGTTTACTGTGTACTACGTTTGTCCACCTCGTAATGTTGTGCTAATTTTATAGTGACATAACAACCTTCCTCGTTCGTTCTTTGCATATCATTGATTATCATTGTACGTGAGATCGGCCAAATTTAATTTAGAGTGACATTTTATTATTATATGTTTTGCTTTTTTTCAG